GATCCAGATAGCCACGTGTAGCTGGTGGATTTATCCAACCATGATGACCAGTAACTCAAGTTGGGATTTTCTAATTTGTTGGAAACAAAGGTTAGAAAAGAATTAAGATTAGGTTAGAGCATCAACTCTAGTTAGTTTAAACAGAAAGAGATTTAATAAAAAATTTTAAGTGGCTTGTAAAATTGTTGGCAAGACTGAAGAAACAGACTCCAGATCTAGAAAAAACCACGTTGCATCTGGACCACCAAGAGAGTTATTGCTTCTTTTAGGATCAGAAAGGTTTTTGCAGAATTGTGAAACTGTAACTTTTAGATGCCTGTCTTAGAACCTTGCAACCTCTGCCATGATCAGACGTCTACTACTATTAGGAAATAGCGATTAGCAAGCCGCCACCTTCATCAGTAAGCCGTTGTTGTTTCTGGCCCTAGAGCCAAGTCCTGCCTACCACAACCTGTACTGCAGAATGGATGTCTTGTGCCTTTTTAAATATTCATGAAACCTGTGATTGAATACTAGGACTTCTACAAATACTGCTGCAGAACATGAACTTCTCCATGACAATGTTTGCTAGTAGAAGCAACCCAAACTCAACCTCCCTTCTCTTCTGTCCTTAAAATTTTTAGTGAGTGCATCTGATTGGTGGAACTTAAATCACATTTATAACTCTAGCCACAGGAGAGGCTGGGAAATGTATTTTTTAACTTTCTTTTCTCTGCAGTACAGGAAGACATACACTGAAGGAGGTTGAAATGGATGTTGAACAGTAATCTACCATATTTACCGCAGGTTTAGAGAACCTGATTCTCTTTAAGGTTGGCTGTTATTAAACAGGCTATAGATAAGTTGAGAAAGTTTGTAAATAATACCATCAAACAGTGTTGAGAAACTCGTTTGTTTCTTTGTGTATTTTTATTGTTTTATAATGACAACATTTAAAAAACAACTAGAATTTGTCCTTCACCTCTATGATGAATTAAGTGGTCTGTGGATACCAAAAGTTTCCTCATATTTAAGATGTGGTTAGTGGATAAAAAGCCCAAAAGAGGGAGTATAAGAAAAACCCTCATAAGAGGTTACCTGAGCTGAGGAAAGGTTAGTGTTGTCAAATAATGAAGAGTGGTCAAATAAGGTGGGACTGAAAAGCAGTGATATGATTTGGGCATTTAATATTAGTGTGTGTTTGTTAGTTTACTATTGAGACAGGGTCTTGCTCGTTTGTCCCAGGCTGGAATGCAGTGGCACAGTCTTGGCTCACTGCCACTCCCGTCCCCTGGGCTCAAGCCATCCTCACACCTCAGCCTCTCAAGTAGCTGGGACCACAGGCATACACCACCACACCTGGCTAATTTTTTGTATTTTTAGTAGAGATGGGGTCTCACCATGTTGCCAAGGCTGATTTTGAAATCCTGTGCTCAAGCGGTTTGCCCACCTTGGCCTCCCAAAGTGTTGGGATTACAGGCATGACCACTGTGCCCAGCCTGTTAGTGTTACTCAAGGTTCTAAACAAGAAGTGGAGAAGTAGGATAAGAAGGCAAGTTGCAGGTTTAGGCTGTGAGTTGAAGGGAACACTTGAAAGCAGAGATTATAGAACAAGTTTTCAAGAAATTTGGCAATAGATTTTTTTTTTTTTTTTTTGGTTCAAGGCACATGCTCATTTATGTACCACAATTGGCCGGAGTTCATGAGACCCTGAACAAATACCACATACAATCTTCCAAAGTTCTTCACTTTTGTCTTTTTGTGTAGCTTGATGTAAAGTGTGGCTCTTAACATATTCTCTTTATGCTTAGAGATATAATAGGTACAACATTACTCTTATTATATCTGTAACCATGACTTCTTTTTTGTTTATGTTGTTTATAAAATGCCTATTAATCACTACTATAGTTTGGAGTTACAGTAGCCAACTTAACATATTTGTACAATTGATTGTTGAGCCAGGCATTGATTAGATGAATTAACTTTCAACAAAGTTTATTTGAACTTCAGTCAGTGGTAGATATTTAAGAAGTACAGATTATGATAACTGCTTTTATAGGAAGTGATGCTTGGTACATTTTTTCATATTACACAGAGCCTACGTTTTTATTTATTTTAGATAAATATCTGATAATGTCAGGTTCATTGGATTCTTCAGACAAAATAACCTCATTGTCTCTCTCTTAAAAGGGAGAGGGAAGTAGAATATGTGTAGATTTAGATCTATTTAATATTGTTTTCTCAAAACTGACCTTATGTGAATGAAACAGAAATATGTTCAGGGACAGTTATTTAGTGTTTTAAATTCTCCCAATTATATATGGAGCATATTTATTATGGAGCATATTTATTAAGTAGAGAATTATTATGATGTAATTCCAGATTTTTTATATCTTGGGTCCTATATCATGAGCTAGTTGGACTTTTGTTGTTAAAAAAAAAAAAGTCTAAATTATGCAGAAGGGAGATGTCAAAGAAAAAGGAGAGGCTGAAGGACAAGAAGGTTGAGAGTAATGAAAATAGAATTTCTGAACAGTGTCCTGGAGGGAGTAAGAGGGAATGGGGTAGAGAGAGCACAGTAAATGGATGAGCTTTGGATGAGAAGAGGAATAATTAGTCTTTGGAGGAAGAGGAAAACAGATGAATACAGGTTGAGACATAGATTATTTTTCTTAGGGACCTGGCTTATTTGTAAGGACTAACCCATTTTAGGCAATTAATTAAATTAATCATTTAAAAGGTTAGATTCCTCGATTCTGACTTGAGATGGACATAAATTTGTTTATTCTGTTCCGTGGTAACTTTATTTTTTAAAAAAATCTTTCAGTGACAGATTTAATAAGTATCTTACTGGTACTATTCCATTGGTTTTCTTATTTTAATTTTATAAATAATTTGTTTACTGAGTTTTTTTATAGGTGCGGCTTAGGTTTCTAACAGACTTCTCAAAAATATATTGGTTTGAATGGCCTTTAAAGTTGATAAGCAGAAAGATGCTTGAGTTTATCTAGTCCAAACCTTCATCAGGAAAGCTGTGATTGAGTGATGTGTCTGAAGTCATACAGCCACTTAGTAGCAGAGTAAGACAGGAATATTGGTTTTATGGTTCTTGGGGTAATGCTGTTTCCCTTATGCTAACTGATGCATAAGGGAACTGGTGTACTGATTTCAGCGCCCATACTTGTGTATGTCCTTTAAGCTAGAGTATCAAAGAACTTCAAAACTTCAAAGCTAGACTTTTTGGGTTATTTAATATTCCTTCAACAAATATTTCTCAGCTGTCTACTGTAGGACAGTCACTGTTTAAGATCTTGAAGATCAACAAGTTCTCGGGCCTCAAGAATGAAGGAACCAAAAAATAAACACTGAAGTAAAAATGAACAGAAATTTAGATAATTATCAGTGCTATCAAAGAAACAAAATGGAGAAATAGAATATGGTAGCAGAACTATGTGCTTTGGATAGAATAGTCAAGGAAGATTTCTCTGAGTTAGTGATATTTGAGCTGAGACTGAATGATAAGGCACTAGCCATTGAAGATCTCTAGGAGTGTGATGTTCCAGACAAAAGCCCTAAACTTGAACATGATGTGGCATAGTTGATGAACGAAAAAAAAAGTAAACACTGACCAGGGTTGGGGGAAGGAAAGGAGAAGAGATCAGAGAGACCATTGAGTAGGGCTTTGTAGACTGGGGTATAGAATGATAATTTTATTCTAAGTGAAATGGTGTGGTATTGGAGGAGGGGAGTGAGTGAGTAACCTAAAGAATATGTTTCAAATATCACACTGCTTGATGGAGAATGGACTGTAGGAGGGCCAAAAGTGGAAGCAGGGGCACTAGTTAGGCAACTCTCATGTTTGCCCAAATAAAATATTATGGTGGCTTGGGCTTGGTGATTCTAGTCAAGGCAAAGAGAACTGGTTGGATTTGGGATTTATTTTGGAGGTCTGCTGGATTTGCTAAGGGACTGGGTATGGGAGTTTGGGGAAGTAGTAGGAGGATGGTGAGCGTAAGAGAGGAAAATGGTAAACTGGGGAAAGGGCATGTTTTAGGGAAGGAAATCTGATGGTTTTTCTGGGACTTGTTAAATTTGAAATGCCTACTGGATATCCAAGGAGACACTGGAATAGTCACATCTAGTGTTTGTTGAGGAGAGGTTAGACCTGGTGTTGCAGATCTGGGAGGCGTCAGCATTACCACCATATACTACAGAGTTGGCAAAGAGAAGAAAGAGAAGGTGGTCTGGAATTGAGACATTGCATGTTTAGAGGTAGGTAGGGGGAGAAGTCAGCAGAGAGCCAGTGATGTAGGAGAAAAGTCAGAAATACTGTGTTGTGGAAGCCAAGAGAAGAGAGCATTTTAAGGAGGGATGTTAATGTTCATTTGTGTTAAATCATGCTGCGTGGCCGGATATGATGAAAACAGGGAAGTAACCATTGATTTGGCAATGTGGAAGGCATTAGTGTCCTCAGCTAGATTAGTTTTAGTGTCATGGTGGGGTCAGAAGTTGATTGGAGAGGGTTGAAGAATAAATGGAAGGTAAGAAAGAAGAGACAATGACTAGAGATGATGCTTTTAAGAAGTTTTTTTTCTTTTCTTTTCTTTGGGTGTTTTTTTTTAAGTTGAGAAATTCCCATCATTGTTTATATGCTGATGGGAATGATCTACTGGAGAGGAAAATTAATGGTGATTCAGGAAAGAAAGATTAATTGTGGAGTAAAGTCCTTGAGGTAGCACTGGTGGGATGGGATAGAGAGCACAAGTAGAGGGATTGCCCTTTCATAGGAGTGGGGATGCAATTACATAATATAAAAAGGAATCTCAAGTCACTTTATACACAGCCCCTCCCTTCACTCTTGCCAGTCTCCTTTAGACCAACTTGATCTTTCTCTAATCACTAGTGGTTTTTTTTTTCTGTGCCACATTAATATGTTGTTTCAGATTGAAGTCATCCTATATAAGGCTTAGTATGAAGCAGTTCATGATATTTAATAACAATTTCAAATTTTGTGCCAACAGGTGAAGCAAAAAATTTATTGCCATATCTTGGACCCCACAAAATGAGAGATTGTTTCTGTACCATTAATTTGGACCAGGAAGAAGTTTATCGTACCCAAGTTGTGGAAAAATCTTTAAGGTTGGTAGAAAAATTGGTAAATTATGATTTTTACTATATAGATTGGTCAATATTATGCCTTTTCCAGATTATAATAATCAGGAAGACAAGATAGAAACAGTGCTTGCTTTCATGTGGCTTTTCATCGTCTCAAAATGTTGTCTTCCTCTTAATTGTTCCTAATTTTGTCTTTGTTTTCTGAAGAAAAGTTTTTTTCATGTGACAGGCTAGATATTGCCTATTCGTTTGAACTTTTCTCAAAGTACATGTTTATTTTATTTATCTAAAGAATAAGTTACTTAAAGTTCATACAAGTTGCTTAATTTATTAGTGCATTATCGGGGAATGAATTCTCAGATAGATGTCTCATCTTTGAAAGTGTAATTGCCCTTTGAGAGTATCGTATTAAATTCTAATTCATAAAATTGGAATATACCATGTCTGCACTGTAGTAATGTGAACATAATTCTGGTGCAGAGCTGTGCTGAGAATCTTGTTCAGAGACAAAAGTCAAAATAAGGAGGCGGGTGCGTTGGCTCACACCTGTAATCCTAGCACTTTGGGAGATAGAGGCGAGCAGATCACTTGAGGTCAGGAGTTCGAGACCAGCCTGCGCAACATGGTGAAATCCTGTCTCTACGAAAAATACAAAAATTAGTTGGGTGTGGTGCTGGATGCCTGTAATCCCAGCTACTTGGGAGGCTGAGGCAGTAGAATCGCTTGAACCCAGGGGGCGGAGGTTGCGGTGAGCCAAGATTATGCCATTGGACTCTAGCCTGGGCAACAAGAGTGAAACTCCATCTCAGGAAAAAAAAAAAAAAAAACAAAAGAAAAAAACAAGGTGTGGGGTATTATTGGAATGAGCACGTGGTGGATGAAATATTGAATCATATTTTGGTCAGTTGTATTTTAGGGATCTGTTTTTGATGCCTTTTTAAAAACATCTTTCTTTTACATTTGCCTTTGAAGATTCCTTTTATGTCTTTATTTTCATTTTTTATAATTTTAAATGTCGAGTTCTTCTTAGAAAAGGTATTGTATAAAACTGAAAATACTTCAGTAGCCCAAAAACATTTCAAGTAGTAAACTTGAACTCTTTAGTCTTAATTCTCATATTATTATTTGGCTTTAGAATGTACTTTAAACATAATATTTGAATGTGGATGTAATATATAAAGGAAATTCTGCATTTATAATTGTTTATAAAATAATGCAAAGAGATAAATACCTACACTTGTCTTTCATATCATGTGTTTGACCTAATAGTTCTTTTTGCATTGATTTCTATGTTGAAATTAATTAGAAGACTCTAGTTACTTTGTGAGATCACCTTTTAAAAGTTTATTTTGGTTACATTTGAAGGGAAAAAATACAGTGACAAAAGTTCACCAGGCATTTTAACAACTAAAAGACTGAACCAACTGTTTTCTAGACAAGATCAGATATGACTTCTGTAGGAGTGTTTTACTTTATGTTTCAGCTTCTCATTTAGTTATGACATCGTAAAGACACTGCATTCCATAGTGATATTTCTAGAGAATCTTTGCGTTCTTTAAACTTTCTCAGGAAAGAGGTGCACTTGACAAAAGAAACTATCATTTCAGAGATTCACATCTTCATAGAAGAATCATAGAGGAATAAATATATCAAAATGACCTTCTTAAAATGAACTTATAAAAATAAGCTTTGCAACATGAGAATGGGCAAAGTTTCCTTACTTTGAATGCAAGAAGCACTACTAATTATAAAAGATGAAAATTGGTAAATTAGATTTTATCAAACTTAGAGGCTCCTTTTCTTTAAGACACTGTCAAGAAAATTAAATGGCAAGCCACACCTGGGAGAAAGTATTCTGACAAAAGACTTGTATCCAGAATTTATTTAAAAACAAAAATCCTAATAACTCAAAAGAAGAGAGATGGCCATTTAAAATATGGGGAGAATACTTTAACAGATATTTCAGAAAAGATATGGCCAAGAGCACATGAAAACGTATTGAACGTTGTTAGTCATCAAGAAATCAATTTAAAACCATTTTTGTCACTATAGATTCTACAACATAATCTGCAGTGATAGAAATCGTATCGCTGGTTGCCTGTAAGAATATGGTGGGAGTGATTACAGAGTCACAAGGGAACTTTCTGGGGAGATAAAAATGTTTTATATCTTGCTTTTAAAGATAGGGATTACATAGGTGTATACATTTATCATGTTACATTCACTAGAATAGCTAAAGTTAAGGACTCTCAGTACCAAGATATGGAACAACTGGAGCATTGCTGTTAGGAATGTAAAACAGTACAACCACTTTGAAAAGTTTGACGGTTTCTTGTAAATTACACATTCACCTACTTTTTAACTCAGCAGTTGCACTCTCAGTAATCAAAAGCATTTGTCTAGAAAAAGCTTTCTATAAGAATGTTCATAGCAGCTCTACTTTTGATAGGTCAAACTGGAAACAATTCAAATAACATCACTGGGAGAATGGATTTGGAATGCAATGGAATACTATGCAGCAGTTAAAACAGTTGAACTACTATGTACACAACAACATCGAAAAAATCTCACAGACGTTAAGCTGAATGAACAAAGCTCGATGTGAATACATACTATATGATTCTATTTATGTGAGATTTTAGGATAGATCTATAGTGATAGAAAACACATCACAGGTTGGGGCAGGTATGGTGGGGTAACTGAAGGAGGGGCATAAGAGAACTCTCTGGGGAGATAGCAGTGTCCTGTATTTTGATTGGGGTGGAAGCTACACAGTTGTATAAATTTATCAGAAGTCATCAACCTCTATACTTTAAATTGGATTTTTATTGTGTGTAACTTATACCTCAATAAAATTGATTTAAAAATAGCTTGTTTTAATTTTTAAAAAATATTTTTAAAGTTGATTTTAAAATAGCATGTTTTAATTTTTTTTAAATAGCTTATTTTAATTAAAAAAAAATATTTTGAAGTAACCTTTCACATAACATTAGCTGTTTTAGGTTTTATGTATTGTAAATAATACAACTTTACACATTTCTAAGACAAGGATGGTATGAATGACACTATTCTCAGCTCTCAAATGGTCCACCTTAGGTGAGCATGACCCCAGGCAGTTACTGTATCTTCTATCCACAGGACTGCTGAAAAGCTATTTGTTCAGAACTCATACTGGCAATTTAGATCCCCTCAGTGTTCAGCTTGGTTTATATAGAACTTAGTTGAAATTTAGCATTGATAATTATTTCGGGGCTTTTCAAGTTCTTTTCAATAGCATTTTAGTCCATCATTTCATTAACTTATTGAAAGTGGTATTATTTGGCTGGGAGCAGTGGCCCATGCCTGTAATCCCTGTACTTTGGGAGGCCGAGGCGGGTGGATCATGAGGTCAAGAGATCAAGATCATCCTGGCCAACATGGTGAAACCCCGTCTCTACTAAAAATACAAAAATTAGCTGGGCGTGGTGGCATGCACCTGTAGTCCCAGTTACTCAGGAGGCTGAGGCAGGAAAATCGCTTGAACCTTGGAGCTGGAGGTTGCAGTGAGCTGAGATCGCACCACTGAACTCCAGCCAGGTGACAGAGCAAGACTGTCTCAAAAAAAAAAAAAAAAAAAATGATATTATTTGAGTATTTATACTATTATTATTGAAGGTGATATTAATTATTATTTAATTGTTTTATATTATTTGAAGTAATGAGCTTTCCTTTTCTTTCTAGCCCATTTTTCAGTGAAGAATTTTACTTTGAGATTCCAAGAACTTTCCAGTATTTGTCTTTCTATGTTTATGATAAGAATGTTTTACAAAGAGATCTTCGTATAGGTATGTACTGTTCATAATTGTCTTTAATCACAATGTTAATGTTTATATTCATTCGTTCTCTTAGTATAGTATTGAAAACTGCAGAATAATATATGCTGAACATCTGTAATCTTTTTCTGTAGACTACATGTTCATTTGTGAAATTTCATTTTTAATTTGTATGTTCAGCTTATATGACAGTTTCTCAGGGAGGCCTTTGCAGCTCCCCTAGTCACTATGTCATATGTTTTTATAATACCTGATTGTTCCCTTTCCATGGTACTCATTATGCTTATTCATTAGTTCTCTAGTTAAATGTGATATTTAAAAGGGCAGGGATTCTTTTTTTTTTTTGAGACAGAATCTTGCTCTCTCTCCCAGGCTGGACTGCAGTGGTGTGATCTCGGCTCACTGCAACCTCTACTTCCCGGATTCATGTGATTCTCCTGTGTCAGCCTCCTGAGTAGCTGGGATTACAGGCATGTGCCACCACGCCTAGCTAATTTTTGTATTTTTAGTAGAAATGGAGTTTCACTGTGTTGGCCAGGCTGGTCTTAAACTCCTGGCCTCAGGTGATCCATCTGCCTCAGCATCCCGGAGTGTCAGGATTACAGGCATGAGCCACTATGCCCGGCTGGGCAGGGACTCTTTCTTACAGAGTACCTTACATTTAGTAATGTTGGATAAGTATTTGTTTAGTGGTTCAAATAATGTTTTTATAGAAAGACTGCAGTTTTGATCCTTCAAAGAACATCTGTTTTTGGGGTTTTTTTAATAGAAGTAATAATTCACTTTAATCTATTTATACATTTTCTTCCTGTCTGTATTAGTGACTATATTAGTCCATTCTCACACTGCCATAAAGACATACCTGAGACTGGGTAATTTATAAAGAATATAGGTTTAATTGGCTCACAGTTTTTCAGGCTGTAATGACTTCTGCTTCTGGAAGGCCTCAGGAAGCTTACGTGAGTGGAAGGCAAAGGGGAAGCAAGCACATCTTCACATGGCTGACAGGAGAGAGGAGAGTTGGGAAGCGCTACGTACTTTTACAATAACCAGGTCTCATGCAAACTCACTGTCATGAGAACAGCAAGGGGATGTCTGACCCATGATTCAGTCACCTTACGCCAGGCCCCTCCTCCAACAGTAGGGTTACCGTTTGACATGACATTTGAGTAGGGACACAGAGTCAAACCATATCAGTGACCAATAAATATATTTCTTTTTTTTTTTTTTGAGACGGAGTCTCGCTCTATCACCCAGGCTGGAGTGCAGTGTCATGATCTCAGCTCACTGCAAGCTCCGCCTCCTGAGTTCATACCATTCTCCTGCCTCAGCCTCCCGAATAGCTGGGACTACAGGAACCCGCCACCACGCCTGGCTAATTTTTTTTGTGTTTTTAATAGAGACCGGGTTTCACCATGTTAGCCAGGATGGTCTCAATCTCCTGACCTCGTGATCCACCCGCCTTGGCCTCCCAAAGTGCCGGGATTACAGACATGAGCCACTGTACCTGGCCAATAAATACAGTTCTTAAATAATTATCAGACTGGAGTGTGATCTGTGGGCATGAGCTAGAACAAAGCTAACTAGCCACATATGTGTCACATTCCTGATCTTTGCACCACTATCTTTGTATTTTAATCATAGGCAGAGGTCTAAGTTACATTTATTATTCTCTTTCTAGTGTCCTAAATTTCATCTCCATTTTCTTTTTTATTTGAAACATGATCAAGTCTCCTACAGCTTAAAAAATTAAGAATTATTTGGCCAGGTGCGGTGTCTCATGCCTGTAATCCCAGCACTTTGGGAGGCCAAGGTGGGCAGATCACGAGGTCAGGAGTTCGAGACCAGCCTGGCCAATGTGGTGAAACCCCATCTCTACTAAAAATACAAAAATTAGCCTGGCGTGGCGACACACACCTGTAGTCCCAGCTAGTTGGGAGGCTGAGGCAGAAGAATCACTTGAACCCCGGAGGCAGAGGTTGCAGTGAGCTGAGGTTAAATACAGTGTGGTTAGGGAAGTCTGGAAAGCAAATAACACAGTGCCATTGTGATTGTATTAGGGTCATTGCTATAGGGGACCACACAATGGTGTAGATACCAGGAGTTATGGAGGCCATTAATATACCAGTCTACCACAAAGACCAAAATGTATCTATTGAAACCTCCTACACTAAGTCTTTGAAGTGCTGCTGTTGTCTCTAAATGCTGCTGTTGACTATCTGCCAGAATTTGTTCAGTCCTCTGGTCCTATTTCATTTTTATATAGGCAGTAACATTTGTCACTGTTTTTGTTTGTTTGTTTGTTTGTTTGAGATGGAGTCTCACTCTGTCGCCCAGCTTGGAGTGCAGTGGCGTGGCATGATCTCATCTTACTGCAACCTCCGCCTCCTGGGTTCAAGCAATTCTCTTGCCTCAGCCTCCCTAGCAGCTGGGACTACAGGCGCACACCACCACACTCAGCTAATTTTTTGTATTTTAGTAGAGATGGGGTTTCACTGTGTTGCCCAGGCTGGTCTTGAACTCCTGAGCTCAGGCAGTCAGCCCAACTCAGCCTCCCAAAGTGCTGGGATTACAGGCGTGAGCCACCGTGCCCGGCCTGTCACTGTTTTTATCTCCTCTTTTAGCCATTTCCACTAGTGCTCAAGTAGGAACAGGACTATCGGGATTTTGCCAATTGGTGAATTGTATCAGGCTGAAATTTCTAAGAATATCTTGTATCTAAAAATGGGTCCCAAGGGTAACATAGTATTTACTGATGGCAAGAAAATGCTACTGAAAAATGGTATTAGAAAGCTAAAAATGCTTTTTTTACTTAATGATCAACAAAGGTGGTTTCTGTGCCCACAGTTCCTTCATTTCCTTTCGTGTTTCTTTGTCTGATTTTAAGGAACTAATACAGCATCTGGTGTGTATATGTTTGGTTTTAAGCGCTTTCTGTCCATGAGTTTGTCAGGACAGTGAGGAAATGAAGTACTAACTTTAAATGATTTGTTGGGACGTTTGTTTCTTGTTTTTTTTTTTTTGTTTTTTTTGTTTTTTTTTTTTTAAGAGACGGGAGTCTCACTGTGTTGCCCAGGCTGGACTTGAACTCCTGGGCTCAAGCAATCCTCCTGTCTCAGCCTCCCAGGTACTTGGTACTACAGGTATGCACCACTGCATCCAGCTGTGTTTGATTTTTTTTTGAAGTTAGTAATTTCATAGCTGGTGAAATAATGGATTAACTTTGTTTAAAATAGTAATCAACAGCTGGCCACAGTGACTCATGTCTATAATCCCAGCACTTTGGGAGGCCAAGGCTGTTGGACTGCTTAAGTTCAAAAGTTCAAGACCAGCTTGGGCAACATGGTAAAAACCTATCTCTACAAAAACTATAAATATTAGCCATCTGGGACCAGCTATAAAAAGTACTTCCAGCTACTTGGGAGGCTGAAGTGGGAGGATCACCTGAGCCCAGGAGGTTGAGGCTGCAGTGAGCTGTAATTATGCCACTACACTCCATCCTGGGCAGCAAAGCAAGACCCTGTCTCGAAAAAAAAATTAAATTAAAAAATACATAAATAAAAGAAAATAGTAAACATTAAACATACATCTTTGGGACTATTAGAGGCACAAAAAAGGTTTTTAAGATCATTAAAAGTCATTCTAATGCAGAGCAGCCACATCAGATGTAGAGTTTGAGTAATTCACCCAAGATTGCACAGCTAATAAGCAACAGAATTGACACTAGGTTATGGAATTAGTGTTTGTGTTGGAAGGAACACAAACAGGCATACTTTGGTTTCGAAATCTGACTTCAGCACCTGTTAGCGGCAAGTTTAAAAATATTGTTCAGCTTTCCTCATCTGTAAGATGGTGATTATACCCTCTACCTCCAAGATTGGTAGGAAAATTAAACAAGAAAATATTTAAGAATGTCTCCTACCTGGTAGAGATTCAGTAAATGCTGGCTTTTCTTTCAGTTCAGTGCCCTTTCCTTTGTATCGGGCTGTCTACCTTTTACTGTTAATGCCTGCCAGTTTAGTGATAAAACAACAAATCAGAATCATGAGGCATTTTTTAAAATTCTATTTGTGTTTCAGAAACTTGTTCCTTCCTTCCCCATCACTTTCTTTTCCCTCTCCCGTACTTCCTTCTCATTTATCCTCCCACCTTTTTTCCTCCTTCATTCTTTGTCTCTCTTCCCCTCTCCCCCTTCCCTATTTTTTTCCCTTGGGCTGATGATGTATATTTCTTTTTATATGTTATATTACCTAATAAAGTGCTGGACATGTTGTAGGTATCCTGCTACCTAATGACTTCAAATATTTTTCTTATTTTCCTGTGCCATTCTTATATGTCATTTTCTCTAACTTTGCGGGATCACGTACTCTTTCTTTCCTGCTTCTTCAGGCCAACTAGCCTCATGCAACTAGATCTTTACATATCGGAAACTGACATCTTAAAAAGGAACTTAAGAATAAGAGCTGGCAATAAAATTACAGAGTATTCTCAACTCATAAATGGCTTATTTATGCAGCTAGTCAGAGAAGGGTTTCCCTCTCATAGGACAAGAAACATTCAACTCTTCAGTGACAGTGAATGTCATGATACTCAAGATGCGGAATAGGAGGAGGAGGCAGCTTGCTTTAGAATATATTACCTGTTTGACTAAGAGAGGATTCTGTTTTGGGAAGGCATCTGTGACAGATGAGAAGTATTTACAGTGATCTGAGAGTAGTGAGTCGTAAGTAGGACAGGTAAATTTCTACTCTAGTTTTTAGCAGCATTGTTAGTTAAATAGAGTGTGGTTAGGGAAGCCTGGAAATCAAATAACACAGTGCCATTGTGATTGTTGAATGAGGGAATGAATTTGTCAAACCAGTAAACTCCTAAATAAACTTTGTAAAAAACCCTGTTTTTGAGTTTGGGACTTGTTTTAGTGATGTTTGCATGTATTATATGTATGTACATATGTACATCTATATACATATTCATAAATTGTATGCAAAACTAAAAGTTATGGAAATTGTAAAGTAGAAATTTCACCAGAAGTCTACTGATTGGTTTCTGGATGGTAAGTAAACTGTCTTAAAATTATGTGCCAGATATTATCTGTGCCTTTTTCTGGGGAGAGGACATAAAAGATACATAGTTACAAAAATTCTTACAGGGAGGGGAATGGTTCTCAAAAGGTAAGAACTTCAGCTATAGGATGTATAGCTGTATTTCTGTATGTACATATATATTTTTCAGTATCAAACTGTTAGCATTGCTTTAACATTTTATTTACATCTGGTGTGGAATCAGTGGTAATTAGGACTACTTGATAAAATTGTGGTAATCACTTGTGGCGTGCAATATTGAATACTTTGTCATAATTTTATATCCTAAGCCATTCCTGGTAGTATATGGATTTGCCAGGAATTTGATACAATTCATAGATAAAACATATCCAGAGATTTGTATGATTTTGTCTCTTAACCTAAATTCTTCCTGCAGTTTAAGGAATATTTGAGTATTCTAGTTAGTGCCTGAATTTTATATTTGGCTTTTAATCTGTGTATTTAATACTATAAGAATTTCTGTTTTCCCACCATTTTTATCTTAAATTTAGCCAGAGGAGAACTAAAATGCATGATTTCCCTAGTGTCATTTTCTATGTGATTTGAATGAACTATAAATGCTATATATTCACATAAAGATTTTGATCTTCAAATTACATTTTATCCCAAGTATTCAAAAGAAAGTTGGGAAGATATGTATTTGTTATCAGGACCAATTTATTTTAAAATTTTGTGTTTTCACTTCATGTATTAATAAACATATAAAGATGAATTTACAATAGGCCTCCTTTGATTGTATTTTTTAATACAGTCACCATTCTTTAATAAAATATAGCTGTGTACTTTAGTATTTTCTTTAAAATTAGATCTATCAGTTGTCTTTATAGTTTTAATTCCAAGACATGAATGAGAAGCTTATCAAAAACTGTAATGTGGTTACACTCTAAAAATAACAGTTTTGTTGAGATGTAATTCACATACCATTAAATTAACCCTTTTGAGGTATACATTGTATTTGCTTTTCAGTGGTTCAGAAAAAGAATCATTATATATGTTAGAGGAAGAGAAACATTATAAAAGTTAACAGTAGGGGAATGAGTAGAAAATATGAAAATTTTTGGTGTACATTTCTTGCAACTTTTCTCTGTTTGAAATTATTTCAGAATACATCTTTTTTTCCTTTTTTCCAGCACTAATGGCTTGGGTGAATTAAAATATCTTTTAAATTAAAGAAAGTATATGATGTCGTGGGGGCCTTAGTATATTCACAGAGTTGTGTAACCATCACCACTATCTAATTCCAGAATAAAATTTTAAGCATAATTTTTGTTTGTTTTCCTGTTCCTTCCTTTTCACTTGATATACAAAAGTTGACATATCTTGACAGAAAAATTTCTTTACAATTTTCTTAAAGATTTCAAATGTTGAACTAAAAGACCAAGGTATGTCATAAGTACAAGGAAATAAAGTAGAATTAGGGCATACAAAATGAAAATTCTTACTTGACAAAAGAAAGTGCTTTTAACTTTATATATCCTTTGTTGAAACTTTTGTGTAGAATCCTGGAATAAATCGTCCGTCTTATGCAAAACTGTGTCTACTTCTTAAAACTTGAATTGAGGAAGGAAATGTTTTGTACCAAGATGGCAAATACTTTATTATAAGAACATTTCTGTTTCTTCCTCTCATACTACTTTGTTCTTTGTACTGTATCTTCCTCTGAGAGGGTTTAAACTCTTTAGAGAACTGGCTTAATTTTTGTATGTGTTGTAGCAACATGATCAGTGTTTGCAATGTTTTGTTAAAACTAAACTCTTAATAATAAAATTGTTATGATCTCCCATAATTTTCAAGTCAGTTTTCACTGTTGTTAATGATGTATGATATTGTTTTTCCTTTTCTCTTAATTGGAATTTATAAACTCTTGCTAAATGCAGATACATCTGCTCAAAACTTACTAAAACATGTCATTTGTTCATAGGGTCAAAAAATTGGGAAGATTAGTTTGCACTACCATTGTACCTTGCTTTTTATAATGAGTGTACTCTGGGTAAAAACATGAATCTGAATAAGTACTAAAAAAATGCAGTTACATGTAAATACAACTGAGGTTTTATCTAATCCCCTGATTCAAAATGACCCAGACAAAGGTCTGCCAAGGGGCAAGGAGAAATGAGATACTTTTTCATTCTTTAAATTGTAGAAAAAAATGCTTTATAAAAATTATTTTTATGTCGATAGGTACAAATTATTTTAAAATATTTTCTATAAAGTATTATATAAAACAGTGCTAATGAGTCTTAGGATTATACAAAGCATGTTTTCTTATATTGTTTTACTTATTATCTGTAGGAAAAGTAGCCATCAAAAAAGAAGACTTGTGTCATCACAGTGGCAAAGAAACTTGGTTTTCATTACAGCCTGTTGACTCCAATTCAGAGGTTCAGGTAAATATTAAGGCTTATGTAATATAAGAGATTGTCACAGGAAATGAGTAAAACATGAACTAATTAAACTAGTTCATGTAAATAGAGCATATTATACCTTATTTTGAATTCTGGCATCAAATATTGTAGACTTTTGGGTAATATAGAACAGGAAGGTAATGGCTTTGTCATATTGTTTCAAGAATAATGCTCATGTATATGCAGATGTGTAGAATTGGGGAGATTAGGGCATTTCTTTCTTACCTTCTGTTTGAATCACAATAACAAATTATTATTTTGTCTTTGAGGGGAAAAGTTTTAAGGGAAAGTATGTGTTTTATTAACTCTGACTTTGGGAAGAATCCCTGGAAGTCTGATTTTGTCTGTACTGATCAGGATTCTCTGTTTACTCTCTAGTAAACTGGACTTGGGGAAATGTTATTCATTTAAACCCTGCCTGAGCCCACTGTGCACAGCCTTCACTCCCACACCCACCCTTTCCTGTTGTTCACCTTGCTTTTTATTTGAAAGGGTATCATTACTCTTTAATCTTTTTTTTCTTTTTGCCAAAATAAGAGACCCTTTTCAGATTCTGTGAGTAAAGAAGTGTTTAGCCATGTAGCTGAAGTTTCTATTTGTTTTTAGAAAATCTGAGTTGCTCTGTCTTAGAAATTATTATTTCTCTCTAAAAGGTTTTTGTTGTAACCTTATTTATTTTTAAAATATGGTAAGGATTGTGAAACCATTTCCCGAGGGCATAATTGCAAGCAGGATTCTTCCTCTCTAAAAGAAGTTATAATTTGCCACTGTGACTCAAACAGAAGTTTAAGACAAGAAAAAAGTGCTACACCCACACCACAGATAATTTGCAAATAAGTGCCTGTGTCTCCATTTCCTCATAATCTCTCAAGCATTCTGATTAATTATTAAATTCTCAAAAACTTAAGTATTTATGCACTAAAACCCCTTCTTAACTGCAAAATATAACATACTTTTCCTGTTTAACCTACTTTGCCATGTTTTAATATTCTTGTCTTTCCGTATGTCCGTAGCTATTATTCAAATCCCAATTGTACAGTATTGTAAATGATCCATGTGAGAAGCAATGTGAAGAAGTGGAAAGGGTTTAAATTAAAAGGCAGAAAACTTAGGTCCTAGTTTTTATATGTAGTTACTTAAATGACATTGAATTTCATTTCTATAAAGTGGGAATAGAAGTTGCCATATTTGATTTATATGGTTTTGAGAATTAAGTGAAATATCTGTAAGGATAGTTTAAAAGCTGTTAATGCTATCAGATGTAAAATATTGTCTGTTTACCACCAGTCAGTCTGGTGGCTATTTCCCTAATATTCCCTTACCAAAGGCAGATATGTAAGTTTTAAAGTACCAGTGTTTCTTTTAATAGTTTTAACAAAAGGCGTGGTAGGAAAAGGCTTTGAACATTTAAACTGAAATTTTATGAACCATTAAATTTTATGAAACTCATAAATTTTATGAATTTTATTTAAATTTTCTAAACAGTTTAAGAGTTCCAGCTCTCAAAAGGTAGAATTCTATATAGAATACTCTATAGAATTCTTGGAGATGGTACTAGAGATTAACACAGGGACACAAGCCTTTATTTGATGGTGTATATATGTGTGCGTATATACATATATGCATATATATGTATATATACACGCATTACATACGCATGGGTATGCATGTTTATAGATATACACATATATATGCATATGTGCATGTATATGTACATATTTGAGAGATACATATCTCATCTATGAAAATGAAAATTGTGGAAGTGGCAGTTACCTATTAGATACAATATAGTCATTTTAAAATTTTGTGCAAGTCATTTTCATGAGTTATTAAACTTTACAACTCTTTTGTCTTAAATGATATTAATAAGATTTACCCACTATTTAAAATAGATTTTAGAAGGAAAAGTACTTTGTGGGGTGGGAGAGACATATAACACTTTCAGGTTAATATGGTACCACTGAAAATGTTGTCCCAGTACTGATAAGGGAATACTAAACTAACTTTATGAGTCTAGAAAAGATAGAAAATCATCCCATGGTTCATACAAATCCTACTTTGTTGATAAATTTGTTCACTTCCATAAACTCTGTAAAATTTTACAAAAATATCATGAAACATAAGAGCAATTAATAGGGAAATAGGTGAAAGCTATGAAACATTGCATTCAACAGGAACTCAGTCTGATAATTACTATTAGTAATTATACCAGTATATCCTAAGCACAGTACTAAGTACTTAATGTCATTTAACTTTCAGAGTAGCATTATGAGGTAAATAGTACCACCTCCATTTTACAAATAAGGCAAAAGAAATTCACAGAGATTAAATGTCTTCTCCAAAGTCACAGAACTACTAAGTAGTGGAGCCTTGATTCCAAAAGAGATCTATCTGATTCTAAAACTCCTAACCACAGTGCCTTTACTACCTTTCACTATTCTGTACTATTAGTCGTAAAAAAAAAATAGTAGATTAGGAGTATCACTTAAGCAACATCTGAGTGTAAGGAACAGAAGCCTGCTCAGATTTGCTTAAAGAAAATGGGAGAGGCCATTAGAAAGCTCCTAGAGTTTCTTGGAATGTCATTATGGGAACTTTACATTGCTAGTGTGAGCTAGAAAGTTGTCAGGCATTTGCAGAGGAGATGCATCTTAAGTGGAGATTAGATTCTGAGAACAACAGACATTAAAATTTGCCTAAGTTCATCTGTAAAATGAGTATACAAAATAAAAAGTTAAAATTTTTTGCATAAGTTACAATTATTTTTGAAAATAATTTAGTTTCTTATAAAATACCCTAAGGTATTCGGGTGGTTTGTTTGGTTTTGGTTGACTACCACATAAAATAATAGGCTTGCATTCTGGGCCATGGTAAATGAAAACTATATACTGTATCTTTAAACTGTAGACCCCCTCCTCCCCCACTCAGTACAGCAATAGATACTGCAGGTGGCACATGGAAACTGAGACCCACTAATCATTTCTTCTATTCATATGTTCACTGTGCTCATTCAGTATAAGTTCTCACGGTTTAAATAATTGGTTTTTTCTTTCCCTTTCATGAAGTGAATAATGTTTTCTCTCAGTCCTTCCCTCTCATTTTAATAACTATTCGCTTTGCAAAATATAAAGGAAGGAAAAAACCCGTTTTATTTTGAGATTCCATTGTATTATTTTTGTATGTCTGATGAGACATGTCTCTTCCTCTGCTTCTCTCTGTAAATCTGCTCCAAGTCTCTCTTTGAGACCTAAAAGAGGCCACACCAATTTTTGAGTCTATGTGACCATACGGCTTCCTCACCTCCAACATCTGACTTAGTTTTCTGCCACAATCTAGAGAGAAAATTTGGCTAAACTTGGGTCAGATGTCCACTTCAATCTAATTTGATACGCTTGGAGGAAAAGTCACTCTAAGGTAGTCCACTTCAGGGCTTTGAGTAGGCATGTTCCCTGAGGAGGGGTTTGGGTAGAGGAAATGATTGGCATTGCTACCTCAGAGGTAGAGATGCTTGTTTCCTAGTTCTACCACTAATTAGCATTTGTGCCCCAAATAATTGCAAGCCTGTTGTTACCTGAGGATCTTCATCTATGAAATGATAATGTCAGCATAAAGGATTCCCTTGGTTGTGAAGTTCTAGGGAAGTAACATGCAGAAATGTAATTTAGCTTTCAAGTGGAAAGATCCCAATAGTATTAAGATGGGCTTTATGCCAAAACAGTTGAAAAATTGTTAAGAACTATAACCTCTTACCTTGAATTGTCTCCCAGAGACAATTTTTTATTATTGCTGATACTGTTATACTTGTCATTAATGTTAATAGTTCTTTTCAGTTTCATTTTCAGTAGTTCAAAATATTGTTAGTAATATTTCATTAGTGTATTTTTCTACTTTTTTTTAAATTTAGGTTTTGGCTTGATTCTACCTTTTGCAGTTTTTCCTTCTGGGCTGAACCATTTTTTTCATCAACCTATTCTAATCTGCTTTCAGACTCTGTAGTGGGTCAGAGGGAGAGCAGAAATGGTTCTTTTTACCGGTGACATTGTGTCAATAAATCTAGTGGACATTTTTCTGTCCTCATCTTACTTGATCTTTGAGCAGCTTTTGATACTGGTGGCCACTCCCTCCATTTTGAAGCATTCTCTTCCTTAGTTTCTGATCCTGTTTATGGTCCTAGTTATCATCTACTTCATTTGGTATTCTTTCTCGATATTCTTTGCCGCATATGTGAAGTTAATATGGGTTGTGCTGGTGCCTTCTATAAATCCTCTTTTGGCTCCAGTGAACTGCAGCCGTACTATTAGTTATTATGTCCTGTAACTCACCAGGGACATTAAGTATTTATCCTTTTTTTATTTCTTAGGCAGTGTGATAAAAAGCATACTGTACATATGGTTGATTAAACCAGGCCGGATATGGTGGCTCACTGTAGTCTCAGCACTTTGAGAGGTTGAGGCAGACAGATTGCTTAAGCCCAGAAGTTTGAGACCAGCTTCGGCAACATAGCAAGACCCCATCTCTATAGGGAAAAAAAAAGAGTGATTAAACCAAATCACCCATATGGAGAATTTGCTGCTCTCATTAATTAAGGAGTTTGTCTCATACAACTTGTCCAAGCAGTAAATCCAGATGTGCTATCAACCATGTCCTATATGATGCAATTACTTAGTTAATAGGTCTTTACCAACAAGCATATCTTGAATTTCTGGATCATGCCATTAAGTTATTGATTGTTTTATAGGTTTTTTTTTTTTTTAAAGACCTCTGCCTTACCTGTTTAAAAAGACATTTAAAAAGAAATGCAATGATTATAGCTAATAATATATACACGAGGATTTTTAAAACATGCCCTATTCAAGACATAATAAATATAAAAACGTAATTCATTATTGCAGGTTGATTTTTTTAACTTCATTTAAAATTTTTGTATGTGAATTAATAATGAGCCATTCTAGATCATATTAAATACTTCTTTAAGGAGAAAA